GCAAACAGTGATGGGGACAGACAAGCGTCCAACAACACAGCGTCTGCCCGGTGCCCCAGGGAAGCCCTCCAGGAGCATCGCGGCGCGGCAGCCTGCTCTGCGGCATACCTGCATTTCCAGGCAGGGCTCAGCCCTGGGATGAGGCTGGGAAAACCCCCTTCCTTCCCTGGCCCATGCCGCCTCTCTCCATCGCAGCCCTTAGCATTTGCCGAGGGGGGGGGGGTGCTTTTTTCGGCACCTTCCACTTTGTGAAGAGCCTTGCAACACCGAGGCACCTAACCCGCTCTGAGGAAGGGGCTCTGCGCTGGTTTTTTCGCTCATCCCTGGTTGCAGGAGGTCCCTTCCTAAGCAATTTGAGAGAGCCCTGGTGCTGCCGGCAGCCTGTGCCCAGCCCTGCCTGCGTCCCCCGCTGCGGTCCCTGCCCCGGGAAAATTGGATTGTTGTCTCCCATGCCTTGAACAACAAAGGCCTGGTGCAAATTAATCTTCAACTCGCTGCCCAAGATTGTTGCCTTTATGGTTATTACGCTGTGTCCTACCAGGCACGGCGTTAATGATTAACGCACCTGGTTTAATATCAGCTGAGTTTTTCAACCCAATACCACTTCCTTCGCCTCCCCGCACCCCACAGCCTCTGAGATCCCGACAAATAACCAGGGCACCAGGCTGCTTGGAAAAACCACCTGCACATGCAGCAGTTTCGGGCCTTTGGGCTTGATGGGCTCAAGGGTTGGGTTATCTCTGCCGCCCACGGCGGGGAAGAGGGGGCAGGAGCCGGGAAGGGGAGGAGGGTTGCACCACGGAGAAAGCACAAGGGTTAGTTAGAGCCAGTGGCCAGACAAGCGCCTTTTCGGTGTGCCAGCCCCTGCTCAGCCTCGGGCACGGGCTGTGCCTGCCAACCTACCGAGCCAAACAGCAACAGGAAGTTTACCAAAATGCCCCAGCTTTGGCCCAGAATAGGTGTGGGAGGGGACAAGGGGAGGGGGCCCGGGAGGCTTGGCAGAGGTGGAGGACAGCCCCCATGGCCACCTCACTGCCCATCGCCCCGGAGCCGGCTGGCCAGCACGAGGACGCCGGTGCCAACCCGGCACTGGCTCCGGTGGGGTGACTTGGTTTCCCTGAGCCAGAAGGCAAAAACTTGTCTCTAGCCTGCCCTCCTCCCGAGCCAGCTATGCCCTTCGAGGATGTCCTCTTCTGCCCAGTCCGGGAATGTCCTGGCCCGGCCCTTACGGCGAGGCGGGAGGGAAATTCCCCAGCAGCGGGCACTCCTTGTGCCGCTGACGCCAGCCTCGCTCCACTGCCTCTGCTTCCCATTTATTTGCTTTATCAGGACAAACCGCAACAACTGCAGTTCCTCATCCCGCTAATCATGGGGCACTTCATCTCCACCCTCCCCCAGCAAAACCAGTTTGAAAGAGGGGGAGGGAAGCTCATTTCCCAAAGCGCTGAGCCCTGCTTAGCCTCCGCCTGACAGGGCACGCAGCGATTTGGGAATCTGTGCCTTCCCCGGGCTCGTGCCCGCTCAGGCTGGGGGTGTCAAGGGGCGATGCCAAAGCCCCCCGCACGCTCCGGCCCCTG